ATTTTATTGGTTTTACAAGACAGGGTTTCTCTGTCTTTGCACCTTCCCTGGAACTCACTCTGTAGCCCAGGCTGGCCTCGAACTCATAGAGATCCACCTGCCTCTGCCTCCTGAGTGCTGGGATTAAAAGCATGTGCCAACACTGCCTGGCCTGTTTATTCTTTTTAAAACAACACTGTGCACCTCTGGGACAAGACAGGAAAAATAACAAACAAAAACCCTCCTGTTCTCTGGTTGAAGAAAGTAATCAGAAAGTAGGCGTAGATTTAGCTATGCCTTGGAGAGATTGCCTTTATCCAGGGCTATTTCCTCGTTCTGTCTGGCAGAAGGAATAACTTCTCCTAGGAGGTCTCAACAGGTGCTTCCCAGATTACTGTCCATCAAAGCTTGTCTCTCCAAGCATCGCTGATGGAGACAGATGGTGTCTTTATCTCACCCTGCATGGTAAGGCCACCCTGGGATGAAGGCTGTTTCCTGAGAAATCTATCTGGTGGTGTCTCTGTAAGGAATATGAGAACGAAGACCAGGGAGAGGACTCAGTGAGGAAAAGTACTAACTGTGAAGGCAGACAGACCAGAAAGTAGACAGAGTAGGGCCCATCTGCAATACCAGCATTCCTACAAAGAGTTGAGAGGCTGAATCAAGGGAATTTCTAGAAGCTTGTGGGCTAGACAGTCTGACAGGCCAGAGAACAGGAAACTGTTTCCACAAATGGATGTCCAGAACTGACACTCAAGGTCCTCTAACCTCCACACATGCACTGTGGCATGCGCATGCTTGTGTACACGTGCATGCACACACACACACAAACACATATACCCACATACTCATACACACAAATACACACAAACACATACATACATACACACAAACACACATACACACACACACACACACACACACAAACACACGTACACACACAAATATATAAAAAGTATTCAGATTAATGGGGCGATTATACCTGAATCTCCAGGCATGTCATCTAAGGAAATCATTTTTATGGGTGGTTAAGTGAAACACACCAGGAAGAAGCATAAACATTTGTTAGTTTTCTAAAGACCCCAGTGTAAAATATTAACACTCAGGCTTTGAAAGGATGCAATATTAATTTAACTCTGTTTTGTTACACTTCTTGGGTATTCCAAGAAGGCAGCTCCCCTCCATCTCTTCCATCTTACCAGGAAAAGAGCTTTGACATAAGACAATTCTGGGTTTAAAGGATACTTTAG